AATCAGATCGTTATGTTAACTAGCAGAAACACCGCCCAAAGGGTGGCTGTTTGTGGTAGTAATTATTAATGGTATTGTTCATACATCATTGACAAAAATTTAGAAAGCGTGAACATTTTCTAAAAAATTGTTTTCCTGAGAAGTACTGCACGGAAAGATATAATCAAACCCTCACGTACAGACAGACCTAGTGAAAGTCGTGTTCGTGTTATGAGTAGAATACTTTTATTTAAAATTGTGTTCTATGATAAAGAAATGGTTCTTGCACAAACCGTAGTTATTTTTCTTATGGTCTAAATATTGAATACCCAAAGTGTGAAATTTCTTTATGGAGTTTGTTTGTGGTGCTACTCAATAGATAGCGCCACATTGTACATATTATTTCTGTCACATAGATAGATACATATCTACACGCTACGTCCATTATAGTAAGAAGATGCGACTAACAATTTTGTTTTCAATTTATATCAATAATCCGGATAGCCGATCCTTGGTTAAAACTGTAGCTTACATTTATCATTGACAAGGGATTTTACTTGTAAAATAAGGAACTCATATATATATATATCAGTCATAGCTATCGGCGATTACTTTTGTGCAAGAAATAACACTTAAAAAATGTTTTACACTGGTAAATAGTTTATTTGTAAAATGATGTCACATCAATTATGTAAAAACATGTTTGCGCACTCAATGAAATTCATAAATAATTAAAGGAAATACTCTGTCAGTATAACTGAAAAACTTGTTTATTATCGAAGAAACACTTATCTGTATAGTTAGTGTTTTACCAGGTTAACCTGGCATCATCAGGTACATTAACTACAATAATCTGATGAAACACTATAACCATACAAATAATACTCTGTTTATTCGATGGCAAACAAGTTTTTTAAATGAACTTTCCATATGGCAACAGAAAAGACACGTACATAAAAATGGAAAAAAGACTTTATACATGAATACATGAAAGAAATAGCTTTACCCCACACTTATATATATTTGACTGACAACAAAGCTTTTCAAAACAACTAGTAAATCCGCTTATTACTCCTCAGCCTTTTAACTACGTAAGAAAACAAAGCATAAAATAAGAACACAATAATTCGAACTAAACTTCTTTGAACAACAATTTACATGATATTCAAGACAATTTACATGATATACAAAGTATGGATGTCTTAACAATACATCTAGCCAGAAACGGTCGTATTAATCTTAAAGACTTGAAAGACATGATTATCTATTAGCAACAGGAATGACGCAACAAGTTTCGTAAATGTACTTTTTATAAACGATAGGATTTGTTTCCGTTTTACGATACGTAAATGATATAGATTAAGTTCAATAAACTTGTATAAAGACAACTAATTCCAACAAAACAAAAGTACATTAGAGTTCCAAATGTCTCAAGCAACAGTTTCGTACTAGCTACACGTTAAAAAAGAAACAAAGCAATCTGGTTTTCAAAATTCTGATATTATCTTTAAATGATAAGGACATTTTATCTATAACTTAAAATCTATATTCAAAGATCAATTCTATTTAGTTGTTTTTTTTATATTATTATTCATATGAAATGTTGGAAAATACAAATGTTTACTGTATACTTAATAATTATTATTTAGTTTAATACATAAACATAAAAAAATAGATATGATTTAATTAACGAGATATAATATTTGTTTTCTCAGCAGGAATATTAAATCAGACCCTACTGAGATACTTGCTTTTCAGATATTGTTATACTGACAACCTTTGAATTGTTCAATAGCACAACAGGAAAAATTCACATAACATTGATAACATTTATTTTGAAATCTCAAGAAGTTTAAGCTTATTTTATAAGCATTATGCTTTATTATTTCTCCATCTTATTAGCTTATGAACCTATTTACAAAGTCCTGAAACAGCTATAGAATGATACTAGATGTTATGCCTAATTAATAAGTTGCTGATGACCTTATGAAAGTAAAATGCGGTAATTTATCCGTTTTAAGTAAGCCTGATAGAAAAATGAATTTGAATAAAATATTCTAGCACACTCAAAAAGAGAAGAAATAATCAGTCATTTAATTAAATAACATGTACGTTTAAATTTTACATTCGACAAATGACTATCAAAACTAAAATATCATCAAATAACATTTTTTACAATTATGGATTGAGAGTCAAAAGCTAAAGAAAAAAGTAGCTGAAAAATATTTTACTAATCAATTCATCGTAACATTAAGAGCGTGTACTTTCATGTCTGTCATTAAAGTGTGGCATGTGAATTTTATACACATCTTACGTGATTGTACTATTAACTGGTCATATTATAATCAAATTTACTTCTACCACATACAAATGATGTTTGTTATATTCTGTTCCAGCTTTTTCTTCCTGCTCGTATTCCTTATGATAACAAGGCTATTTCAGAGTCTTCTTGTGTGAAAAACCTATACTTAAGCACTATAAGTTTAACAAACTCATTCTTATAGGTTCTCGTATGATATAATCGCAATACATGAAGACGCAAATAAACAAGTCTGTAATTTCTGGAAATTATAAATCAACAGACTGTAATTGTTGCATTTTAAATTTCATTAAAGTGGAAAAGAACGTAAAGATCCTGATTTTACCCCCAATCTTTTATCAAACCGACGAGCGGGAGATGATTTTTTTTTTATTTTTTAGGTCTCTCAATATGTAAAAACAAATCTAATGGCTTCAATATTGCTATAATGGTCTTGTCTACACAAGTAAATAGTTTAGGGACGATCCAGAAAAGTATAGGCCTGTTAGTTTAACATTCGTCGTAGGTAAGATAATGGAATTTGTCACTAGAATTTATTTGGGGTTGAAATCATCTTTTGAAATTAGAATATGGTGAGAACTGGAGTTCAGTAGGATTTTAAGAAAGGGTTTCATTGTCTTATTTTGCTTCTTCCATAAAACTATTTTTATGTTGGTGATGAAGGCACCTTTGTCGATGTTGTATACTAAAATCTTTCTGATAATGTATTATACACGTGGTAACTACCAAGTTATATGTATAAAGTACAGAAAAATATATATTGAAAATTAGAATTAATGCGGCTAGTTAGCTTGGTTTAGCTTAAAACCTTTGTTGTCCATTATTTATATAGATATAGCCCACCCACCCAAAAAATGGTTCAGCGGTAAGTCTAAGGCCTTATAACGTTAAAAGTCGGATTTTCATACCCGCGGTGGGTAAAGATAGTCTACTGCATAACTTTGCAATTAACAAAATATTTACATAAATAAGTGATTGTTACAAGGAAGAAAAAAAGGCATCGTTTGATTAATCATTTTGCTATAATGGGTATTGGGATCTATTTAATAAACTCCGAGCTCACTAAGATTATTTTTCATTTACTTTAGATACGATTAGACATTATTAAATATTATGTGTTATTTTCCTATTCCGGACATATTCTCAGGAAGATTATTTGCATGTTTTGTTCAAAGCTACTCGAGGGCTATCAAAGTTAAGCGTCCTTATTTTTGAAGTTGTAGAGTAAAAGAAGGCAGCTAGTCAAAACCTTTCACTGTCCTCTATTGGGCTATTCTTTACCAACTAATTGCGGGATTGACCGTCATGTTATAACGCCCTAACGGTTGAAAGGGTTAGCAAGTTCGATGACGGGATTTCGATCTCCCGACCCGAATATTGCGGATCGAGAGCTATAACAATCACCCAGGAAGAAAATATTTATGGAATAGTTTGAGGATTCAGTCATTGCTGATGAATTGGAATACGAATAAAAAAAGTTTACATTTAGATGGGTTGGTTTTAGCTTTCATTGTTTGAAGGATTAAAGATGGCACGCTTTTAATTTGATTATTACTATAACCATTTATAATAATAAAAACACATTATTGGGTTTCTCTTGTAGCTTTTGGATGAATGTACAAAATCGTAAATAACTGGTTAATGCTAATATCAGTGAATTGGGAATTTTCTATAAAAACAACAAGTTTTTCAAAAATATTTCTTGCTTTTCTACTAAAGACATCACAAAAATAATATTTTTTTATTATAAAATAATCGTAAATTTGTCGAACTTGGTTTGTTTCAAATTTTTCGCGCAAAGCTACACAAAGCTACCCTAATGTTGAAATGATGAACATTTAGTCAACATCATTTACCGCCAACTACTATCTTATCGAATAGTGAGATTGGCCGTCACTCTAAGCGCACCCATAGCATGACAAAACAGGACGCGTTTTCTTGAGGAAAGGAGATGCAAACCATGAACTCTCGAACCACTAGGCTACGGATTTTCTGACGTTTACACCAGTTTTAAGTGTGCATACTGGGCATAACACAAGTCATACCAAACGCAATTTCGCTACATATTTTATGTGTACATAATTAAACGTCTCAATATTTTAAAAACGATTCTTAAAGTAATTAATTAGAATATACATTAATGGTAGCTGTCAACAACTTAAATCAACAAGTGATAAGAATACTTAATTACAATATTCACGAAAACTTATGATTAAAACTCCAAATTGCTTAAATTGCAAAAAAAGAACAGAGAGAGATATATCAAATTAACATGTCTATGTATTTCAAAACGTCCTATATAATAAGTACCACACATACATTTATTGATAATGAAATATGACAACCCTCACCCAATACCCAATAAAATTACGATCTATGGAGCTTAATCAAGAGATAGTTTTGATATCTTTCATACATTGTATAATGCTGGACATTTTACACGCGTTGGGCACAGTGCAGATAGCTCATTGGGTAGCTTTGTGCTTAACAAACAAGGATATTGACATGCTAAAAAACAGCTTGATATCCAA